TGGTAACAGCAGCTTAATTGTTCCTTCTGCAAAGTTAGCACATATTTTCACCCGTTTGTAATTTATTTCTAAATGACAGAAGAATGTTAGTTAATTTGATGAAATGTTTAGAATTTGGAAGAAAACATTCAACAGGGTCAAAGTATTTAGAGAGACAAAAACCCAAAAAAACCCTGCTTGTTACTGTCAATAACTACACTTGTATATTTTTAGAAAGGTAATATCTGGCAACAGCTTTACTAAAATGTACAGCCTGGAAATCCAAAGCAGTATGATTTAGCAGTAATATAACTACATATATATATATATGCATACATATTATATATGTATAATAATACAATATAATGTAATGTAATATAATAAATATTATATAATATGTTATACATTTAATTTTTCAAATGGGTATGTGGTGTATCATAAAAGTTATAGGTAATTTGATTTGGGAAAAATATTTGTTTATACTCTGATGATAGAACACAAGTTTAAGGTTGAATCCTACCAATATTGCTTGTTGCTTTATTTGAACAACATGTTCAAGTGTAATACTTTAAATATTTAATTGAAATAATTAAAAATTACTAAAAACTATTTCAACATTAAAATAACTAGAATTGTGATACTTCTATAAGCCATAAAAAGCATGTAAGAAGAGTTTCAATGTGTAATGCATATTAATAAAACTTCATTGTGAAAGATTTCAGTTACTGCATACTAAACTATATTAAGATTTTCTAGAAAATATTATATTATGTTAAATTATTTTATTTTAATAATATTATTATTAAATAATATTTTAATAATTTTATTATTATTACATTAAAACTGGGAAAGGACATTCTCCTGGTTTTTTTGTTTTTTTTTTTTTTTGTTTTTTTGTTTTTTTTTTAAGCTTAAAGATTCTGATTTCCAGTAATTTCCAAGGAGTAGTGATCCACTAATTAGACAACCAAATTCTGCCTGGTTTTGGGACAAAAGTCTTCTGGTTTCAAATGCTTGTTGATATGAGCTCAGTTTATAGCAAGACACAGCTCAAGCCTGATTTTGATGAGGAAATATAGATTTGTAGCTGAATAAGAATGTGAGACTTATAGAAGAGGCAGAGTACTCCTTTTTACAAGCTGGCATGTGCCTCACAAAAACATGCTAAATGTTGGATTGGGACAGAAATTGCCATACAGTATGAATACAGTCGTAAACATGGCTATGGGATATTATCACAGTCCAAAGGAAGAGCTGTAATGCTTCATTTGCTTACCAAACATCTATTCAGAAATGGCTAGCTTCATGTAAACATTCATTATTAACCAGTAGCAAAATATATTTTTCTGCAACATGAAGACTACTGAGACTGAAGAACAAGAGCATCAGCTGGACATTTTGTTCCACCAGAACAAAATATTTTGGCTTCTAGAGTAAATTGCAAGTGTGAAGGTTGTAGAATATGTAATCCTACTATTTTTTCAAGTTTTTAATGCCTACAGCTCTAGTTGTTATTACCATACACATTATAATTCAAGAACCCCGTTTGTTTTTTTTACAGAAAGGGCTGCATCTTGTCTGGACAATTAGCTCAGAAAGCAATACCAAGACTTATGTTTAAGGTAGGAGGCACAAAGCACGCATTTCTTCTATACATGCATTTCTTCTATTTCTTCTATGCTAATTCCACATGGAAGAGTAAATCTAGCTATATGTGCTTTGATAGCTAGGCTTATAGATGCAGAGAAGTCTGCTATAACAATTCTTTCCCTGTATGTCTAAAAATCTGCAAAGTGTTACTGTTCAAAAAAGGTATATAAACCTCAAATATACCTTGTACTACCTAGAGACATTCTGTTCAGAAGTTGTTTTTCTACAACTATACTTAGTAATAAAAATGAGTTGAGAAAAATGCACGGAGTATAATGTCATGAGTCTTCAGTGAGGCTGGCTAGGAACCAGCAGTGCCATATAGGGATCACAGTATTCCCTAATTAGGATATTTCCATGGCTGAACCTAAAGACCTTGGAGAGCAGCTGCTAATCATTTATTATTCTCCTTTCCATGAAAGTCAGACAGAAGGAGATGAGAGCTGAGGTGGAGGAAATTGACAGTAATTGGAAGTTACTTTCTCAGGATAGTCTCACTGGAGAGATCAACAGAGTTTAAACTGCAATTTTCTGAGGACAGATTTGGTTCCTTTCCTTTCTGCAGTTACAAGATATCCTTATCCTGCAAGATTACAATTTGCTACTCAACCACATACCATGTGTTATTTTTAAACTACCATACACACGGCACCTGTCTTTTTTAATCCTATAGTCAATTTTTCAGATAATGGAAACTGGTATAGCTACTACTTATAGCTCCTAGTGTAGCAAATATGTTTCCTGTTGGTATACACAAACAGAAAAATGGTATTTTTCCCATGACTTCAGTGTGGGTAAAATTTTAGAACTTCAATTTTAGATGTGAAAATAATCAACTAAAAAGAAGGAAAGAAAAGACAATGATGTGTAAGGGGGAGAATCGTGAACCACACATTCTTATATAAAAACTTTGGTTTTCATTTTTTTTGTGTTTTTGTTTGTTTGTTTGTTTCTATTTTTATTGGCTTGTTGATTAAGTAAAGTTCCTAAATAAATAGACACTGCTTCTTTTAAACTATCTCAGGAAGTCTGACACAAGGTTCATAATAGTGGTAAAGACATGCAAAAATTTCTTTGTTTTAAAATTGCTTATAGTTTAGTTCCAGAATTTTAGAAGACAGTGTCTGATAGTTTCAAAAATAAGTCCTGTTAAGGGTTCTGAACTAATGAACGCTGTTGATTTTAACAGAAGATGATGATGCATGGCATAGATTGGATTCTTATTTCTGGTGCTGTGTGTTGCTTCAGTTTCATTTTTTCAAATGTACGCTTCTTTACTCAGAATTATTAAAAGTTGTACATGTATCCGAAGGAAATACCTTATTATCATATAAGGAATAGAGTTCATTAAAAAAAATCATACTTGTGATTAATATTTATTTGAGTCAACTGCATATTTTAAATGAGCTCTACCATCTATCCTTTGTTTTCCTGTTGATGATCCTGACCAGTACATCAATAAGCAATACTGCAGATATGAGAAAAGTATGAAATATATCTTCTATGACTTACTGGGTACAAAACTGTTAGCTAAATATGGAATGACAATTTAAGTGTGATGTAAAAGACAGAATAAAACCTGGTTGTTTCGAGAACTTAAGCTGAAACTGAGTAATTCTGATATAGAATAGCTAGGAGTAGGTTGGATTGGAATGGGCTGGAATAACATTCACTTTGTAGTTGCATACTTAGATACAGGAAATCACACAAAACAAGATAAAAGTTTGGCAAGAAACAGTAGTAAAAAAACATCATCACCATCAATAACAACAAAAAAAAATATAGTACAGTTTCAAATGAAGGTAGGCAGATCATAAACTTATACAGCATAATTCGAAACCAATCTTTAATTTTCTAGGATACAGCAGACTTTTTCCAATTTGTGTAAGTTCATCTGCATAAAACTTCAAATATATTGCATTTTCATTTCCATTTTAAATAGATCACAGAATCACAGAATCACAGAATCACAGAATTGTAGGGGTTGGAAGGGACCTCCAGAGATCATCGAGTCCAACCCCCCTGCCAAAGCAGGTTCCCTACACCAGGTTGCACAGGTAGGCATCCAGGCAGGTCTTGAACATCTCCAGAGAAGGAGACTCCACCACCTCCCTGGGCAGCCTGTTCCAGTGCTCCGTCACCTCACTGTAAAGAAGTTCTTGCGCATGTTTGTGCAGAACTTCCTATGCTGCAGTTTCCAGCCGTTTCCCCTTGTCCTATCTCCACTCACCACTGAAAAGAGTCCGGCCTCGCCATTCTGCCCCCCACACCTTAGATATTTATAGACCTGGATCAGGTCCCCTCTCAGTCTCCTTTTCTCAAGGCTGAACAGACCCAGTTCACTCAGCCTTTCCTCATAGGAGAGATGCTTCAGGCCCTTCACCATCTTTGTGGCCCTCCGCTGGACTCTTTCCAAGAGATCCCTGTCTTTTTTGTACTGAGATACAAATCAACTGATTTTTTCATAAACAATGGGATTCCCTACCATTATTTTTTTTTTTTTACCTCATAGTAGAATAAACAATTTCTTCAGCATTACTAGGTATATGTAAGGGATAGTTTTAAGTGAACAATTTCAAAATTGAATTTCAATTTTAATAATTGGATTTCCAAGGTTCACACCTAGGAGCATAATATATACCTTTACTCAGACTTTCAACCTTATTAAACGTGGAGAAATTCAGTCCCTCAAGGCGGCTTCCCTTATTTATTTTTTATTTGTTTGTTTGTTTGTTTGTTTAGGGAATTTCAGACTACACTCATTAATTCCAGAGGTTCTTTAGACTATACATAGGAGCAGGATGTAAGCAAGATCAGTCAGTCAGCATTTATATGTCCATGAAGTAATACATAGTTTATTGGTATAACCTGGACTAGGTTAACTGCCTAAGTATATTTAAAATGAGAGATTGGTGTATTTAGTGATTCTTTAATGCTAGTCTAATCTAGATTTCAAACAGTTCAAACAGTTAAAATTGTCATCAAGGAGCTAACATATACTTGAATTCCTACAATTCTGTGATTCTGTAAATATGATCAACAATAAGAAGCTGAAATCAATAAAAAAACAATTAAGCTTTTCCACATTCCATCCAACTAAGTATGTGCAATGCAGTACATTATTTCCTAAAACAAGCAAAAATATTGACTTGAAGTTCTTTGCCTAATTCTCCAAAATACAACTATATAAATCATTAATTAGTTCTCCTTTTCTCAATTTTGGACAACTATCACATTTCATTAGGGAAAACATCTTCTATATGATTTGTATGAAAACTCCCAGCACTTCAATTTAAATATTTATTTTTAACCATAGAGGCTTTGCTGTAATATAGGCAAGAAGAATCATTACTGTAAAACAAATTTCTTACCTCTGATGGATGTCCTACTCTTACAAAGGTACAAACTGGATCAAAAGCTCCTGTTCCACAGGCCAGAAGATGTGTTCTATTGTATCGGTGAAGGACACGGATGTAATTAGCACATTCATCCTAGTTCACATAAAGTGTAAACATAGGAAAATCTTAGAATTTCCATTAAAAATGATAAAAAATAAAATAACTTTTTTTTTTTTTTTTAATATCTTAGGTATCAGATGATGCTCTTCATACTGAGAATTTCTTTTCTGTTATTTATAAAATTTTAGTTCTCCTACTTTATACTACTACTTCAGTCTCACCAAATCCATGAATGGACACTTACAACATGTTTAGAAGGAAGTTCAGAGCTCTGATTTATCACAATTTACTATAGGCACTTAACTAGTGAGGAGTGATTAAATTATAAAACATATTTTGCGCTTCTTCAACCTTGGATACATTTCACAAATCCAGATATTTGTTGCATTAGCTTTTATTATATGCAGTATGCATTAAAATGAGAGCAGTATATATGAACAGTCAACAAATGGCTTATTTATCAAGTTAAATGAACTTTATTTCAAGGAAGTAACACTTTTATTTTATTTTTCCATAAGACTACTGCATTTGTGTGTATGTGTGTGTAATGCATTGCTCATCAATACTTTTTATATTGTGTAGCCTCATGCTTTTTTAAGTTCCACCATTCAAGTCTTCCTTTGAAGAAGAAATTATTCAGTTTCCTGAAGGCAATACCCTGGGACTCATTAGTGTATTTGCAGCTTCATAAATATTACAATTAACAAACTTACAAGCATTGTTTTGAGTTGTGGGGTCATTACAATTCCTTTGCTGAACTAGAAGCAGAGACTGAATAAAATTATTTATTTTGGGACTCTGCTGACTTGGTTTATCAGGGTTTTTATCATTATGTCATTATTTTCTGTGTGTGAAGAAAAAAATGTATTCATTTTCTTTAGTTGTGTGATCTTTCTATTACTCAGACCCTGGGTTTTAAGATGTTAATACCAAGTTTAAGGCAATTGTAATGAGAGTAATCTCGTCTAACTATAGCCATTCTGAAGTTTTTTGTTCTAACCTATGCTTTTCTTTTAGACTCTTTCAGTAGTCAATAAAGAAGCTCATATATCTCCAAAAAGCAAATAAGTCCATCCTAAAATTATTTTGTAAAAGAGAGTGGAGGAATTTCATTTTGGAAACTTTTCTCTTCTTCAGTTTTCAGACTATATGAGAAAAATCTTGGGTTTTAATGTCCATCTGCAAGAGGTTAATGTCCCAAAGAATAACTCTATAGTGGAGCCATGGAAAGAATTTGTGTAGCTACATTAGATTCAGAACTAAGAATCTGCCTTTTTTTTTTCTTCAGTCCTTTGCATCATTCAGTGCAAGTGTTCAAATTTATGAAACAAAAAGAGCAAAAAACAAAATAAAATAAAAACTCATATGGAAAAACTATCCTTTGTAATATGTTTCTCCTTAGCCTTTAAGTGAGAGGATATGTCATGGCAATTGAGAGTTATTTTTGCCAATAGGATGTTTGACTCGAACATAAAGGTTTAAAATGAAATAATGGGGAAAAGAGAGTTATTAGCAACCCTGCAAGTGAGTGATGGACAAGGTCAATGAACATGGGCATATAGTGATGTGACAGGAATTGTAACACAAAATCAACAAAAAGGAGTCACCTTCAGCACTTGAATGTAAGCAAGGAAGTATCTACCAAGAACCATTGGGGAGAAACCCAGCATGCTGGAGTGCCTCTCCATTCCTGTATGATAATGCATGCAGTATGAACAATAAAGATGATGAGTTAGGGATGTGCATGCAGTTGCGATACTATGATTTTGCTGCGATCACGGAGATTTTGTTGGATGGCTGGAGGGACCATTGCAATGGGAGGATGCAGGCTTTTGGGGGAGGATAGAAAGGGGGTCTGTTGCAGGAGGTGAGATAAAGGGGTGTTGTCCTTTATGTGAGAGAGCAGTTAGAGCGCATTGAGTTCTGCTTGGAGATGGATGAGGAGCCAACTGAGAGTTTATGGGTTAAGATTAAAGGGAAGACAGGGGTAGCTGACATTATCACTCATTCATGCTCTAGGCGACATGAAAAATTAGAATGAATAGGTGAGGCTTTCTGCAGACAGATTGGAACCTCACATTCGTAGGATCTGATTCTCGTAGGAGACTGGGCATCTGTGCACCAGCTACTTTTTTATGTGTGCCTGCTTGACCAGGGTGGGGTGGATCAGCTGTCTTTCAGAGTTCCCTTCCAACCTGTCATTCACTGAATCTTTGAAGGAAGCAGGAAACCTACACAGGTGTGTAACCTGTTGTATAATTAAATATGTATATGCAAAGGACAAATAAAAATTGTTTAATATCATAAGTTTCTGAAAACTTTTTTTTTTTTTTAAAGTCTTTTTCTATGTTGTCTCTCACCTGGTCAGGATTTTTAGACCCACTGAAAAAAAGTCCCAAATGTCAGTTGATAGAGAAATAAATGAGTTCAGATTAGTGGGATGACATCATCTATACATCAGTTAGTACTCAAAGACAGAAATACCCATTTCACTTGTGCTTCACAAATGTTTTCTAACCAGCAGCAGTGGAATGGCAACAAAAAGGATGCTTTGTAATTTCTAAATAGATGCTTCACTTGGCACTGATGCTCTTCCCTCTGTCTTCCCTCCCTGCCAAAGTATGACCTTCCTGACTCATAGCCCTCTGTTCTGCCTCTGTGCTGTTGTGTTTTTTTATCCATGGTTTCCTTTTGTTATCCACATATCTCTTCATCTTTGTCTCAAAAGAGCTTTAGAAGGAGAGAGATCTTAGGATTATTTTTCTCTCTTCATGGGTTACTTTTTTTTCTACGTGTCTTCATAGAAATGCCTGACATTTTCTGCAGCTATAAAACAGAGTAAGAGAGACACCAAATATAGAAAAACTAATTCCAAATGGCTTTATCAAAATTATATACAAGTTGGAAAAGGTGCTATTCTGGGAACCATCAGACAAATAGTTTTTGCTGCTGGCCCCTCTGATAATATCCTATACACATAAAAAGGAAGAGATGCATCACGCAGGAGAACATTAAAATAAGTCATCTTCCTACTTCCTATTTAAACAATTAAATATTCTGGTTATCTTTAGGAGACTTCTTAGATGCATTATTAGATCAGTGGAATTTTATTAATCTGAAGTTTCTCGGTGTGAAAGTTAGTTGTAACAACAGAATTTGATTTTTATTTCTGAATGATTTCCAGTGCTGATAAACTAATTGAAAGGATCAAAAGCTCTCACACTACAGGCCAACAGGTGTGTTTCCTGGCACACTGGATGAAAGTTTTCTGAAACTGTATTTATGACTACAATACTTGAAGTTTTACTGCTACAATATCTACTGATAACCTTATACAGGTTGTAAAAGCTTATCAAATTGTCCTGTTGTTTAACATCAGTATGGCTACTAAAGAATGTATAAAGTTTCTCAGCACTGAAATGCTTATTACATATCAGTCTTGCATAATATTATTTGCACAGTTAGTACCAGATATTTTGCAAAGGAAAATAAAGAAGGAAATAGCATGGAAATAAATAAGAGGTCTTTGAAAGATAATTGATGAGGTGTTTTTTGTTTTTTTTTTTTTCTCAGAGACTTTATATTGTGAAAAATAGAATTCTGAACTTACAAATGTCAAACTGTCGATTTTAAGTTATAATGCCATTAAGCCAATATTTATTTATTCATTTATGGTTATATAAAAAAAAAAAGGAAGACGAAAAGGCAAATAATAGAAAAAGTTTTGTTCAGTGTAGCTTCTTTTCATGTTGAGCAATTGCAGTACACTAACTACTGAGCATTTTAATGAAAATTACTAAGCATTCCCTGGAATTAATTAGCTGCACCCATTCAGTTGTCCCACACATAAATTAGGAGTCACATGAGAATCAGAATATTAATTGATATTGTTTGGTATTAAAATATTTACAGCTTTCACAATTTTAATGTATTTTACAATTTTAATGTATTCTGGAGTCTGTGTTTTGTTTTTGTTTTTGTTTTTTTTTGTTTGTTTTTTGTTTGTTTTTGTTCTTGTTTTTGTTAATTCTGTTCTTTTCCTTTTAAAAATCAGGGCACCTGACTTCCACATTACATGGAAAATATGAGAAACATATTAATTTTTTAAACTATCACATTCATTCCAGTGCATATTTGAAGGTACACTAGCAGACTGGATTTTAAAAGATCTCAAATTTTAGGGAATCTCACAAGTCTGAGGGGGAAAACTTTACATTCCATTGGAACACCCATAACTATTTCTGTATTTATTTAACCCAAATAATATTTTTGAAATATAAGAAAATACATCTAACGTGTAGTGTTGAAGGAAAGGTGGCAGGGTTCTAACAGTAGTAACAACTTATGGCTAGGGATCGTATTAAATAAAACTGAAACAATATGTTTTTGATTCATTTAATATGACCTTGAACTTAAGACAATATAGAAAATCACTATATTCAACCAAAGGCACCTGAAAATCTCAAGGCTCCAAAAACATCCAGAAAAATGCAATGAACTACTAATATAAGTACAAAACGATCAGTTCTAAGCCAGGATAGTGTGAGGAGTAATGTACTATGCTGTTTTTTTTATTATTATTATTATTATACTATTTTCCATCTGATTCACCCGTTCTGTTGATGTGGACATTTCAAGAAAAAATTTTATTGCTTCCTAGACTTCACTCTGAATGTGTGGTGGTTATCATCAAGGCTGTTTGTTTGCTGTGCTTTTGTGGAAAGCATTTTACCCATTGATGTTTCTATCACTGTTGCTGTAAAACTATCATCATTATCAAATTGGTGTGAGCTCTTGCAGCTGTGAGATTTACTAGGTGTTTTATGTGCTTTGTTTTTATGAGTTGCAGATAATGAGCTTGGTGCACTGCAAAATTATAGAGAGCTTCCATCCAGAAGAACTTTCATCCTGTGGTGTAAATGATACCAGACTGTGTATTGGTGAGCTTTCATGTCTTTTTCTGGGAAATGATTAAAGTTTAAGCATTGAATCACAGGAACAGTAGAGCTTCTGGGTTCATTAAAATACAATATTTATATTGGTATGTCAGAAAAACCTGTGGAGCAAAAGTACACTTTATAACTACTGATAATTTTGTTACTTTTTTAATGTATTCTAGAGATTCTAAATTTTAAAAATGATTTGGAATGTGAAAAAGTTTAAACACAGAAGGTAGTCTATGTGTATGAAAAAAAAAAAAAAAGAATTGGGGGAAGGGAATTACTAAGGTACCTTCCTTGATATCATTAGAAAAAAACATTAGGAGAAAGCTCAAATGATCAAAATGTTCATTGCCTTTTTATGAGCTGCTTTGAAAAGCAATTAAACTAATAATTTAGTATATTCTTGGTTGTTACACAATTTTAAGCATCTACACACAATTATGTCTCTGCTTTGACCTGTCTGAAATTTAGACATTCCCGAGTCCTTGTTTTGGATCAGCAAAAGCTATAATTGAAGTATATTTGACTTATATTAGATGATACTTACAGCATCTCTTCCTTTAATTATGCATTCTTCTGCTTGAAGAGGTGTACTAGGCCAATGGATCTAAAAAAAGAAAACAAATAAAAATAGAAAGTAGTACAATTTGTAGTCTGATGTTAAAATTTTTCCACTGTTTTTCATGTGAGACTCTTTTATTGTATGTTATTACATTTAATCGAGCTTCTATTACATTTTGATTTCAAGCCAAATAATTACCCTCTAAATATCTATATAAGTGTACAATAATGTAATAGATATTTTGTATCATGAAAGTTTTGCTTGGGCTAACTCAGCTAAATTAATACTAGTAAACAGAATATAAACAAAATATATTAGACAATTTATATAACTTCAGTAGAAATGTTGTTGATAAATCATCAGAGACTTCCAACAATTTCCCATAAAGAATTAATTTTGAACTACTGATTTTCTGCTTTAAGTGGCACTTAGAAAAGAAACTGGTTTATAGAAGGTCCTTATTTGCCTTCTAGGAGTAAGATCAGCTCTTCAGAGTCTACTGCTGAATGCCAAATTATGCAAGTAGAATTTTTTTTTCAGTTATCTATTGTATAAAATTTATTTTTCATTACAAATGCATAATTTCAATTTATAATTTTTGTTTATAAAACTTAATTAATATTTAATTAATTAAAAATTAAAAAAAATAATAATAAAATTAAAATTTATTTAAAAACTTAATTTAATATTAATATTAAAACTTATTATTAAAAATTATAAATAATTTGTAATTGTGCAGACTGGAATGATTATTTCTTAGAATTTTTAAAAGTGAAAAATAAGTTCACCTCAGTGGAAGTCTGCTAGAAAGTGCTTGAAATCACAGAATCGTAGAATGTTTTGGCATGGAAAGGACTTTAAATAGTATCAAGTTCCAATCCTCCTGGCATGGACAGGAACACCTTCCATTAATCAAATTGCCCAAATCTCTATCCAGTATGCCCTTGAATACTTTCAAGAATGCAGCACCCACTGATTTTATTTTGTGTTGTTTTTTTTCTATCAGTGATGCAAGAGAATGTTAGGAATGAAGACACTGAAAAACCACATCATGAATGAAACACTTGACTCTGTAACCTAATATAATATATATTGTTTGTAGGTGATTATATTTGTATTCAGATACTTAGTCCCAGTGAAATTCAAAATATTTTATATGCATATTCTCCACTTAATGGGTGCTGAATTAGATGCATAAGCACAATTAAGGGAGAGACAAAACTCCAGGATATAACTCAGTTTTCACCCCTTGTCTGAAAGTTTGACAACTGGCTGCAGAGTAAGCAACAAGATTTTGTTCCGTAACATTCTGAAGAGAAGTGGGGGATGTGTGCCTCTTGCAGAGGTGAAGGGCTTTGACTCCTGAGTGAATTGCTCTCATCAAAAAGGCTCATGAGCAGCAGGAACTATCCTGTATCTCTGAATCTACCACTTCTACTGTGGATCTGCTTTCTAAAGCTGCCTCTTGCACATTGTCTTCCACAATTGAAATCCTGTTTCTGTTGTTGGCTCAGCCATTGCATTACCTATTGGGATACATATCATAGCTTGTTGTAGCTAAAGGTGCCTAATGAAAGGATAAATATAAGGGATCATCTCTGTACCTTTTCCAGCAGGTGAGAAGAGGTGTAGAAATCTATCTTGGATGCCTACAGCCATTTATCTATGTCTAAGCTGAACCAATGTTTATAGCCCAAAGTAGCTCCTTACAAGGCTTATGAGTCTCAATACAAATAGGCATTAAGATTTTGATCTCTTCAAAATTCTTATAGACTACAGGCTAAAAGAAACTGAATTTTCTGTCATAGGAAATTTAAAAAAAAAATCAGAAAAAAGCTAATTTATTTATTTCAATCCTGAAAACAGAAAAGCTGTTCAACTTGTCTGCTATGATCATTTGCAAAGATATTGACAGTAAATGGCTCAAGACAGTAACATTATATTAAAGGATATTTGTGTAATTATTTCATTTTTCCTTTTTTGGGATAAATGGGATATGTTTGTGCTACATGGATATCCAGATATTAGCCAGCTGTAATGGTAGCCTTTAACTTGCCACATGTATGTTTTCCTAATGTTTATCCTTTAGTGTTATGAAAACTACCAACCTTAACTTTGAATTGGCTCTTTGCCAGGATTAAAATCTTTTAGCAAACTGGTGGTATCAAGTGTTGGGAAATTTTTGTGTGCATCTAGACTGGAATAGCATCATACTAGCATAGATTTCACAGGGCTGCAAACTTGATCTTTTGTTTGGACATAACTATTCAAAACTTGTCACCACTGCAGACTACTGTGAAGTACATTTTTAAATTGCTTGTTTAATGATAGTTTCTCATCTTGCACCACAAAACTATTATCCTTGAAAACTGCATGGTATACTTCTAGCATTGTATTGAAGGAAAAAAAGCTATGTTTAAAGACAAAAAAGGAAAAAAAAAAAAAAAAAAAAAAAATTCATAGGGCAGTACAAATGATAGCTACTGAGTAAATTCAGAGAGGAACCAAAATTTAATTGGATCTGGAATCCTAATTAGTATCTCCAAACAGCTTTCCTGTTCAGTCACTGGTCTCAAAAAACAAGATAGCATGTCTAATGAAAGCTAATTTCAGGAAACTATATGAACTTTATAGCACTGTTAGCTAAAATGAACTACTGTCTGAGCTAGACTGAACACTAGAATACTGCAGAGCAATTAAGCAATTCAACCTTCCAGTCATTATCTTGAATTAGTAAATTGTGCTTAATGAACACACAGATTGTTTTTGTCTGAAACACAAATTCTGAAAAAAATAACTTTTTGTGTGGTAGATGTTATTTGTATCAACATACATATCATCTTAACTCTTGGGAATTAATTCCAGGGAATAATCAAGTTCACTGCTAAATCATGTACTTCTTATTTCCATTTGTATACTTTCCTGTGTGATATTCAAAGGAGATGCAAGCAATGTCTGCTCTTACAGCCTTCTGTTCAGCCAGCTCTGAAGCTTAGCTCATACACTTAGTTCTACCAGAGAGTAAGAAAGGCATGATATACTGTGGAGATTTTATTGCATTTTGCAATGTCTATATAAATCCTAATCTGAAGTTATTTCATAATGGACCAGAAACTGCACATTGAAAGCTGTCTGCACAAGCTTATGCAGGAATGCTTGTCTTAATAGCAAGCCCTTTGTGAACGCTTTGAAGAAGCTATGATAAACAGCTATCTGTAAAGAGTTTTTGGACAAATAGGGAATACATTTTAATTTCCTTTCTACAAGAGAATAAGTAGAATCAATAGTTATCCTTCTCTGTGAGCTGTTAGATCACTCGCAATGAGCTACCAGCATTGATTCATTTGCTGTCAAAAAGACTTGCTCTGGTCATCAATAAAATTAACTTTTAAAAATTGGCACCAGATATCAAATAAGTTCTCTATCAGCTTGTTTATCATTACAAGACTTAAATACTTTGGATCAAATCTGAAATATGTATAATGTTTGATTCTAAAAGTGGTGTGAAAAGAAATTATATCTGGAGAGAAAGTAAAGGTCACGTGGAGGGAACTCCGAAGATTTGCCTTTACACATGGTTTCAAGTACTTGTCTGGCTTTAATTCTCTGTAAATACTAATATCCACATTTCATAGACAGTAGCTTTGTTTCAAATGCTAATGGTAAGACATACTAAACACTGTAAGCAAGATTTCTGAATACCATAAGCAAACAAATACAAATAAAAACAAATACAAAGTAGGTGGAAGAAATATGACAGGTGAAGAACTAAGATACATAGAAGGACTATGCCATGGTTGAAATCTCTACTCAGAACTCCAGATTTCCCAGACACTGCAACAGGAATAGTTTTCTTCTCTGAGAAATATTTTCCATTTGCACTCATGTTTTCTTTAATGTGTATTAATGCTGCTCTGAACAATATGTGCCTAATATAATTTTGGTATGTATATACACAAACAATTAATAGTATACCAAAAAAAACCTCTGATCTATCTTTCAGAGTGCTTCTTCATGTCTGACAGCTAAACTGTGCTGAACCTTAAGAAACTTAAATCTGTTTATTAAATGCAGATTTATAGGATACGTATCTCATATAAGATGAGTCTGTTGGAAATGCTGGATTATTTTGGCAGACGATAATTCTCAAAGAAAAGGCATTTTATGTCCACTCAGCATTTTGTTTTCTTCTGGAGAACTCCTAATAATCTTGCTATCTAAGGAACTACAGGGTCATTTTGTGGCAGAAGAGATATATTTCTGACTGGCAGTGGGGTTTAGTTTGTTTTTTAGAGAGCATGTTTGTATTGTAAATTGTAGAAAATATGATGCCAATGGATTTAAACACATCAACTACTTTCTAGAATGCAGAAAAAAAAAAGATCAATCAAGTCTATCCAAACATGCCAAATATCTGAAATAAATGTCTTGCATCCTAGAGAGAAAATAAAACCCAGAAACTTGCCTCCTTATATTTTTGCTAGGTTATAGCTGGTATCTTAGATTAAGTAAACTAAAATCTTCAGTTGGAAAAAAAGGTCAAAGGCTAACCAACACATAGTTAAGGGAAGCTTAATATAAAACTTTGATAATAATGAATCAACATATCTCTCTTTTTTTTTTTTTCCCCAAGAACTTTACTTAGCATATCTCATTAATTAAGCTCTAATATAACATAAATGTTTCATTCTAGACTTTTCCTGATATCGCAGTGGGAAACTTAAATTTTTCCTAGCTATTACTGAATGAGATCTGTGCTGCGTAAACTTTGGGAAAAGAGAAAAGGAATATGACAAGGGAGCTGAGATCCAGTGAGGTCATGTTTCCAAATGTGTAAGGTCAAGCTCCATTTATTCCAGTGTCTTGTCTTTTGCACATCATAAAATCAGGCATGCAGAGCTTCCATTAATTTGTCATGTCCTGTGCACAGATCTCAAGACAGACAATGTAGTTTTAGAGTAAAGAGCTGATCTTCTATCTAAAAACAACAAGAAATAGTGTAACGAATTTAAGAGTGCATCCAGATGTGACAATGGTGGTTGGACAGAAGTGTAAAAAATTTTATCCTATCATCTTTCCCCATACAGATTTTACTACCAGATGGGAAACAAGAGGAGGAAAGAAAAACTCATTTTATAAAAATAGCTGCTTCTTGAATGTCTTCATATCCCTGACCTCTAATATCATGTCACAGGATATTAATAATTTTTATCAAATGGAAAAGGAGTTTACTTATACCTCACTGTGCAGGAACACAGCTCAATATGCAGTAGTGCACTGCGAGGAGTTAAAAAGTGTTGTTTTAATATATTTGATTTAGATAAAATCTCAGATGGTCTCTCTGAGTGTTCCCATTTCTCTATGTTACCTTGCAAGATTACCTTGCTGAAACTGTTTATAAAAAGGATAAAACATATCCTTTCAGAGTCATGGAGCAAATGGAGATAAGAACGGCCCCTTAGTGCAAAGCTGACCAGGGTGTTGGCATGTTAATATGTTATTCACTTACAAGTAGGGGAAAAAATAAAAGAATTTGATACGCAAGCCTAGTGATCATTGGAGTACAAAGATTAACAAAAGTCTTTTTTCTCTAGAGTACTTTATTTACCAGCATTTTCATTCATTTAATCATTTGAGAATGAATGAAAATATATCAAAATAAAGAAGAAATTTTAAAAACCAGGAAAACTGAAGTATTTCAAAGCATCTTTTATTCTTAGTCAGCAGGACTGTGGAAAGAGTGGTGGTCCCACAACCTCATTTCACCACCACATGCCTCCAGTCCTATCTACCAAGTGCAGAAGGAAGCCAGAGCTCACATGAACAAATACTCAAGTCTCTTTACTTCAGTTGCTAGTTTGCCAATCAGCTGCAGTATCTATCATGTACCAAGCTCACTGGTATGATTATGACATGAACCCACAAATCTCTGAGTAGGCTTGAAATGAAATTTTCAGTCACTACTTACCAGCACTGGCTTTTAGCTAGTGATGCATTTTCTAAACAGAGGTAGAAAATAATCAAAAAGATTTTTTTTATAGTTTATGTACTTTTCTTGGGGATGAGGGGAGAAGAGGGAGGGTGTATATGTTTGGTGTTTTTTGTGTTTTTTTTTTTTTTTGTTGTTGTTTTTTTTTGTTTTTTTTTGTTATAGAAAAACTACAATAATAAAAGGGAAAGATCGTTCCTTAGTTACATGTCAGAGATGTAGACATCAGGTGTGTATAAAGTGCTGTGTGATGTTCTAAATTTTAGAAAACATGCTGAAAAACAGTGAGAAATAACTTTCTGGGTCTCCCAGCTCTCTTCACTGAGAACAACCCATATGAGACGTTCCTGGAAATGAAATGATAATTGATATATTTTCTTACAGACAAACATGACGTTGAAGTTCATGCACAAAATGTCAGTGTTTACAAGAACACCATTATCTCATTTCCAGTCATGCAAACTCTGATATTCTATGCTATGCATTGTAACACAAAATGACGAACATATAACATCTTTTTACTCCACCTCTCGGTAGTTGTTGCTGATTCGATCCAAACTGAGGGAGTACAAGAGGTCTCTTCCTCCCACGAACAGTCGCTCTTGATACTCATCCAGGAGCATTATATGAAGACCAAGATATCCAAACGGGCTATGAAAGACTGACGTCCTGTTTAAATCCCAGAGCTCTGAAATGCAATCAGAGTGTGCGTGATAAATACCAAAGAGCTTAACATCATGGCTTCATTTTCATATTCTCCTAGGGAACTATACAAGAATTTGTGAGACATTAAAATGCTAATCATATAATCTTTGAGTAAGAAAGAGACACAAAACACCTGGGAACAATTTTCAAAATGAGCCAGCTCTCTAGGAGACTTGCATATGAATCTTTACATCATAATCTTTGTGCTCAATATATCAAAAGGTGAGGATGGGAGAGAGTAAGCTTTCTCCAAAACATTTTCTGAAAAGGAAAAAGCACTGCTTAGAACATTAACTGTAAATGTGAAGAAAGGAATGAACAGATGCAAATTGAAAAATTACTGAAATTTTTTTCCTTGTTTTTCACTCAGGCATGTTGAACTGCATGCATATTGTATGCACAACATTGTTCTGCTTTTGTTTTTTGGAGGGATTCCATTGATTTTTTTAACCCCGGCACCATCCCAACTTAGTTCATGGAAAATATTGCCACTAAATTCAGTGAGAAGAGTACAAAGTCTGTAAAATGCATATTCATAATTTTCCAAGTGATTATTGATTTTGTCAGGAAATATGCTAAAGTGTTAAGGCAAGCTGGGGTTTAGCAGTTTATGGTCCAGGCTAAACTCACACAGAGAAAGTGAAATTCATCCTGTGTAATGTTGTAGAAACTTGGAATCAGACCCCAAGAAGAATGAAAGAGGCAAGCAACCAGGTTCTTGTTGACAGCAGATGGTTCAGAGCACAGTCTGGCTTGCAGTTCAGAGAGGCTGACAATCATTGCTTTGGGAAACCTCTAGAGAATTCATTACAGAGAGTGCCCTAGGACTGCCTCAAAAAGAGCAAAGCTGGGTGTGAAGAAAAGGAACTAGGTTCCTTTGGCTATATTGTGAGGAATTGTTTTATTTAGAAGAAACAAGCCACTCTTGATAAAAGTCAGCAAATTCCCTTCAGTTTATCCTCACAACCATCCTTACTTGAAATAAATTTATCATTCAATAGCTATATTAGTATAAATTTTATCATTTTAATAGGAAATTTAGCATTCATTAAGTAGCTGAATTCAATCCAACAGACATATTTCCACAACTCATTTTCATTTTAAATTGTTATTTATATATGTGGTGATGAAGCAGTTTAGTAATTTAGTAAGTATGTTTTGTTGTAGTTGACCAAGTTCAGTTCAGGAGAGGTCAAAAGCAACTAGTTTCTTCAAGTGGTTCCCTAGATGATAAAATTTTTATTAAAGGAGTCACGCACCCTCACAACTGTTTTTTTTTCCTAAGCTATCTTCAAAAATAATTAAAAATTTGTGGAGAACATTTTTAATATCTAAGCTTTCTGTAATATTTTTAAACTGGAGAGGTCAAAACACTTGGCATGTGAGTGTGTCTGTCCTGATTTAAAAAACAGAAAAAGTAAGTTTTATTTGTCTAAACTTAACATACAGACCATTCTTGGCAGTGATACACCTAGTGCAAGACTGCACAGCAATGAGTAGATGGTGCTTCTCTCGCCAAGTAAATCCAACAGGCTGCTGTTTCAGAACATTTCTTGCTTGATATCAAACTAGGAATGGACTAAAATCAGAACTGGAAATAGCCCATTAGTCCCAAATAAAATATTTTTTTAAACATTTGTAAAACATCCAATGTATTTTGTTTTCAAGTTTGTCCAGAAACAAACAAACAAACGAACAATTACATTTCAAAATTCTAGTTATATCCAGCCACAAAAGTACATTGTAGTAGCTTCATCTGCTTACTTTCATGCTATCTTGAAGGCAAATTTTTCATAACTGAGACAAAATTTCTTGACGTAGATCAGAGAGATCACTCACCTGTTTTCAATAAGAATACTAAGCACTATGAATTCGTCTACCTGATCGTGTAAACTGGTAACTACTTGTATAAGAGACAGTCCTGCCAACCACACCTGCACATTTGTCTTCAGTGAACACTGAGAAAATTAAACACTTTTCAAGATCAAACTTGTAAAAAGAGTTATTACTAGCAAAGCCTCCACCAAAGCTATACTGGTGTGATTTTGCTGCGTGTGTTGAGGCCAGAAAATAAGTGAGTCTGACATATGGAAAGGATTGGAAAACAAACAAGCAGAGAGACCTGGGGAGAAATTTGGTTACTGAAACACCAATGTATTAGTATTATGTAGCTCCTTTGAAGGGTACTAGGATTTGTGGACAGGATATGTATAATAAAAGGTTACAGAACATACTTAATACCAAGATAATAGACTGTGGATCTCTGCATTTTGCAGTGTTGAGATTCTCAGGGAGTCATTGAAGTCAAAGCAAAACTGGGAACAAAATACTTAAGTTTAAAGCAGCTTTCCCTAAAGTCTATTCTCAGTTACTTTCAAGATGCTTATGCTCACGAGACTTGGGCTTCTGGTCATGCCCACATCCTTAATTGAACAGTTCATTTTCCTTGATCATACCTAAATTTGAACATGAACCAAAAAGATGATGTTTTTCTAACTAATCTTAGGATTTAGTAGCTGCAATTATGCTGAGCACATCTAACACACTCACAAGATCAGATATTTCTGCTATTTTCTTTGAAAATCTGGCTACGGAATTATAATGTTTCCTAATCCTTTAAAAATGTTCTAGAGACAAAATCTGTTACCTAAGAAATTCCTTCTCTAAATGCATTGAAACCCAGATATTCCTCTTTCCATAAAGAGGACAAATCCCAATACTAGCTACTAGATAGGGAAAGATGGATGCTTTCTCCATTTCCTATTGAAGTCGTAGAGAAAGATCTTCAGGCTCAGGCAGAGTAAGCAGGAGGAAAGTGATAATGTAGCAGTTAGGTTACTTTTCCAGGAAAAATGTTCTGGCCCAAGTGCTCAAAATAGTCTATGCATTTTGTATTAAGCAGTTAATGGACAAAATATATAAACTGATCTAGCAAGTGGTCAGGTCCTCTCACAGGATTGGCTGAGATTATAGCTGAGAAAAGCACAACAATTTATTGAGACTCTATAGATTTCTGTAGCAAAAAGCTCTTTCCCCATAAAGGTCTTATGTCAAAGAGCAAGAGAAAAAGAATAGTTTTTGAGAGATAATGTATTGTTAGTGCTCAACATAGAGGACAAAGAAGAAAAGACCATTCCTACGCCCGTCGGTGAAAATGGACCTTCACAATGCCTCAGAGCTATCATCCCCATATTTAGGAAAATGTTATTTAGTTATTGCTCCATAGTGATTTTCCATTTTAATGTAAAAGTTCTATACCAGAAGTAAAAGTGCACCACTAAAATATCAGTTATTTTACTTCACAAAGAAATAACAGCTTCAGCATTTACATATTCTGTGATATTCATGTAAATCAGTGCATTTACAGTGAGATCCTTAAAGCAAGTCTGGGCTGCTAGATTATGTTTCACAAACGCACTACAGTACCTATGAAGAACAAATCTTGTTATTTCCTGCTTTAAATGTCAAGAATAAACCTGCAGATTTCTTGTCTGTCTGCCAATGCTTGCTGGCAAATATTCAGACTGATCTTCTTTACTGTACTTTTCCTTAAACAAATCTAATCCAGTGAACATATTCACATTATATCCTTTTGACAAGAAGGACTGTAGTTATTTGTTACGCATTGTTATATTTGTAATATCTGATTTTTTAATTTTTAATCTTTAGCATATAATTCTTTTAAAAATTGTGATAGAAGTTATTCCTTTATTTTTTTAAATAATTTTATCATTTTTATTCTGTCAAGATTTTTTTGAATGTAAGTGATAGATAACCAATATATAATTAGGACATTAAATGCAAAAAAAGTTGTTACTGCTTCAAAGTAGCTAGAATATAGTGAATTATCTTGTATAGCAGGTAACATTTTATCAGAAATTAAAAACTGAGGGAAGAACACATATCTTCATATATGGGATACAGATAAATATCAATTCAGATATATACTTTTTTTTTCAGGTTGTGAAAAAGTTGCTGCTCTGTTCTCTGCAGCATTACATCACCACAACTGTAAAGTTGCTCTTGCCCTTTTTTGCCCTCACGAAAATCTTTGATTCCCCTTTCAAATTTTACAGAGATATAGCCTCACCTCCCACACTACGTAAGTCTGCAGAACGTTCTTCTGGTGAAGATGTTATCCAGGTGCAGAGCACTGACAGATGAGTCTGGCACTTTGAACTTGTTGAGTATGTGATGTGGACATCTCAGTGCAGCTTCACAGGAAGAGGTAGCAACTGTCCCCATCAATATTATAAAAGGCCAGAAATATAAAATCAAAGTAATATGAACACCTGAATAACATTTCATGTTTCCAAAGAGCAGCATAGTCCTAGACTATAAATATTATAGTGGAACAGATTTTTTAAGAATTTAGTGAGCTTTATTGAATTTCAGTTGATTCAGCTTTTTATTACATAGCTAATAACAACCAAAATCTGCTTACATATAACAAGAAAGGAATATAAACAAAACAGAGGAGAAACAAATAAAAGACATACAGAGACAGCCTGAAATATCTGTAACAGTTTATGAAACACAGATTAACAATAAGATCAGGCTATGCAAGTATCCTGCAGTTTAAACCACAAGTACTTAAAGTAGGTTACTATCCAAGAGTACTTTGAAGAGTCATTCATCACAAGGACAAAAATATAATCTTACAAGTGGTTGGATAATTCTGACAAGGTTAAAACCTCTAAATGGCAATATTCCATGTAGAATTGTTAACAGGAGGCAGAAATGTTCTTCCCTGGGGAAAAAATAGAGATGGAAACTCATCTCAAAACTATTCTGCTGAAGATGAGCTAATGCATTAGCAATTTTTACTTTCCTGAGCTCATAGTCATCAGTCATCTCTGTTACTGCAAAACTGATTTCAGTCAGGACAATGATTGCCATGTAGCAGAGAGAGATGCTAACTCAGGTGAACCATTAAGCATTAGAAAAAGAACAGTGTAAATTGTCAAGAGACAGCTGAATTCA